TTGCAGAAGATTCGGAAGCATCCCTGGAGATTGGTACCCTTAAGGGACCAATCGAGGGGTTGCTTGAGGAAGGTACCCGTAAGGGACCTTCCCCAACAGCCATGGTCCTTGTGTCTCCAGTACCTGATACTGAAGGACTGGTTAACGGGTGTGCGGTTGGCGCGGAATCCTTCCATTTTGACAAGGCGTACGACCACTTCGGCGACGTCGTTATCTTGACTGGCGGAGCAAGATATCAATTTGATGCTCGAGGCAAGACCCGAGTAAGGATTCACAACCGTGACGGATGGGAGGATAGCTTTCCCCCATCGATTGCGAAGTCCCACAAGCTCTACCTGCACGACCTGAGGAAGCTTAACGATCCTCACGATGGAGAGTATGGTGGATGTGTGGGCAGACATCCGAAGATACTGGAGCAGATCTTCATGCCTGGAGCCACTGCCCTTCTTTCGATGATCTTTAGAGACATCGAGGTGGCAGTGAAGTCGAGGACGCCGTGCATTATTTTACCATTCTGCAACGGGAACAGACACCGCAGTGTCGCTATGGGGACCTGCGTGTCGGCTGGCCTGTATGCTTTGGGGATGAACCACTTTTTAGGTCATCTACACGCCTATGTATCCTGGGGGGACATGAAGTGCGGCGGCCATTGCGCCTGGTGCAGAGGACATTTTACACATGCCTCTGCGACTGAACTCGGGAATAAGGTCTTGGCGCATCTGGATCCCGCAATAACCAGCTATGCGCGCCACCCGGCGCAGGCAGAGAGGGACCGGCAGATGCGTCAGCCACCGCCGGATCCTGCCTCGCATAGCCTGCCACCTGCACCGAGTAGAAGGTCCTCGACCTCTATTGGTCCACCGGTTAGAACGGGGACCCGAGGAATCCACCTAGTGGATCCTTAGGCAGGGCGCCGACTCCCAACAAGCAGCCGAAGAAGCAGGAGTCGCCAGGACCGTCTACGACCACAACCCCTGGGTCGGCATCCGGAGGTGCGCCGCCACCGCCACCGCCGAATCCGGCTCAGGATCGGTCACCGCGTGGACCCCCTCGTGGGCCACCGAGGCGTTCCGAAGAGGGTGGCACCCTTACTGGGAAGAACCGTGGCTTTGTAAGTGTTTATATAGATTGCAAGCATGTTGTTAAATAGCTTGCAACCCGGTTGTATCTATATTGCAAATCACTTATAAGTGTGATAAACAAATACAACTGTTAAGAGACTTAGCTAAGTGTTTACATAAGTGGTATAAGGTAACATTTACAAAGGTTAGGGGGTTTAGCTAAAGTTTAGCTAAGTTAACATAACTTTTTGAAGTACAGTTCTTATATAGGGAAATGACTATGTTAGGCACGTAAATGACTTGTGTTTCAAGGGTGCATGTATACAGGGGGGGGGCAGGGCGGACAATTAAATGCATATCCTGTTGCCATGCAGCCGTTTTTTTTCAAGAGAACTTGGAAAAGATGAAGCCTGCCTGGGCTACGGCCGTGGAGCAGGCATTGAAGAAAGATGCTCCGGCATTGGAGAGATGGACGGAGATCGAAACTATCCTGCAGGAGAGCAGGAAGTGCTACAGGCAGGTGCTGCGGCCGGGTCAAGTCCTGGTGCACCCGTCGAATCGCTCAGGGTTAGGATTGAATGGAGCCCAAGTTCACAAGACAGGGGCCCAAGTGCAATCTGTAGGCTTCAGCTCCATGGAGCTGAAGCGAAGTGTTTGCATGGAAATATCCACGGATAGAGCTCTGAGCCAAAAGGCCTTTAGTTTCAACAAGCGGCAAGTGGATATGAATGGAGGGCTGCTAGCTGAGGTGCGAGGCGATGAGCGATACATGTCGTTAGCATGCAGTCACTTTACGGCATTTTGCCGTGCCTGCATTGCAGCATGTCCCTCGGACCAAGAGACGGTGTCGGACAACGGCAAGCTCACGTTGCAGCGATTGTCTACGGACTTTCGGCAGGCCGTGGATAATGGATGGGAGTGGCTGGTGCTGTCAGCGGAAGTTGATGCAGTACTGCCCTCGCTGGCCTCCTTCGTTCAGGAAGTCATGAATGCAGCCCAAGGAGTTGCAAGAACGGCAGGCGAGCTGGAGCTCGCCATGGCGATGGTGACCCGAGCAAAGTTGCTGGCAGAGCAAGGTTTGTGCATCGACTGGGATGTTGTGCAAGCTGATGTAGCAGCCACGGTGCCGGATGCCTCGCCACAGACCGTGGCCGCTTGCGGGTTGTTCTGCAGATTCTATGCAGGAGGAACCGAAGCACCTCTGCTGAAGTTTTTGCACGACTTTTCCTTGAAATATGGGGCAAGCAAAAGATTGGGAGAGGAATTCATGTCCACGGTCGCCGGCCTCCGGTTTGCAGGGCAGGAGCGATCGCATGCTTTCGCAAGGGCTGCGATGATCGCGACGAACCTGACAGCCACAAAAGTGGTAGACGGTGTGGCTCGGCTGCTGAGCAAGAGCGATGTCAGCAGGCTCTGTGCGAAAGGCATGGAAGATGCTGTAAAGGATTGGGAGGAGCTTCTTGCTCGTGCCTGGGCTCACACTCAGAATGTGACGGATGCAAGTGCACGTGCCAAGGCAGTTGAGTGCTTCGGTCGCCTGATGGTTCGCAGCACCCTCTTCATGTGCAAGAAAGAGAAGTCGGGGCAAGAAGGCCTTGAGCACGGGTCATTGGCCAATTTGCTGACTTTGTACGAACACGAGATGGGTGGCAAGAGTGCCGGTGCAACACCGGCTGCTGCTACAAAAGATGGGCCGTCTGATGCGGCCCCTGCGACCTTGGAGAACATGCAGGACCCGGCCTTCCTGATGAAGCTGCAAGGCTTCGCAGAGGGGAACCTGTACAAAGGCAAGCAGAAGTATCAGGACATCTGGCCTTGGAAGCTGGAGAAAATCGGCCAGAGCCACGGCTCTTTCTCGCTGTCTTGCCCAGTGAGCTGGGACAAGAAGGTCGAGGTGCCTCTGAGCGAGCTCAAGAAATTTTTCGATCTGTATAGCGGAGATGCACCCGAAGTGGTGTCTGACTCTGTGGACCGACTGCCCCATAATACGGAGGCTTGCAGCCAAGAGAGACTCCGAGGAGAGTTCTTCGAGCTCTGCTGCGAGTATTTCCTGAAGTACTCGCACTGTGAAGAGGAGTTGACCTTTTTGAAGAATCCCACGTGCTGTCTGTTGGAGGGCAAAGCCAAGACAGGCAAGCTGACGATCTTCCCCTTCACGGATCAGATTTCAAAGGTTGGCTTAAAGCCGGCAGCTGGCAGTGTGGAGGTTTGGCATTCGGCCTCGGGCACAAGCTTGTATATTTCACCCCCGGCTGCAGCCGGAAGTTTGCTATCTGCCTTCTGGCAGATCCCGGTCGGCTCAGAGCCGAATCTGGCGACAGTCCTTCTGAACGAGAAGGGCTGGAAGATTCCCATTTTGAAGAACACTGCTTCGCTGAAGGAGTGCATCCTGTACAGGCCGAAGCCTGCCGAAAGTTTGAGGGCCTCGGCCCAAGAGCTGGATCAAGGATCCGCTGCCTCGCGAAAGCGAAAGGCTTCTTGAGTTACTCGACAGTTCTCGCTTGCTGAGTTTTCCGGGAAAAGGAGCCAAGGTTGATGTCTGCAATGGAACTTTTTGGCGCTTTTGCAAGTGTGAATTCAAGGATGGTTTGCAGGCACGTGTTGTTGATCTTTCCATAAAGTTCGGCTCAAGGCTAATATAGGTACAATGCCGCTGGTAATCGAAAGAGTATATGTCCTGAAGCTGGATGGTGCCAGCTGGACTGTGGGTGACAAGGAGCTAGAACCAACGGACCATGGTCCGTTTGTGGTACTTCGTCCATGGAGCCCGGGCTTGTGCAAGCTGCTTTCTAAGCAGCATAGCATAAAACTGCCAAAATACCCGGCAAAGTCATCGTTGTCCCAGAGCGATGTTTATCTATCGCTCGTGGGCTCCCGAAACGATGCCTCCAAGGAGCAGCAGTCCAAGCGGCAGGCAGAGAAACTGAAAGAACAGAGCTCTGGCCTTTTCGGCGGGGAAGACAGCGAGGCTGCTCTAGTGTCTGTAACAGGCAGCTCTCCGAGAAAAGCAGCGAAGACTCGCTTGTCCCGCCGTGCTTCCAGGGAAGCAAGAGCAGAAAAGAATGTGCTGAAGGTTACCTGGATGGGAAAGGAGATCCGTGTCCTGGAGGCGGGCCATGTCACGGATGTGCCCAAAGTCCACTTGGATGATATGGCATTGTTCTTTGAAGCAACACAAAATGCCGTGCTTACTGCTGAGTCTTTTCAGACTAGAGCACGGCAAAGCTTTCCTAAGGGAACTGCTGCGAAGGACAAAGTCGTGAAAATCGGCCAAGGCCGCCAGGCTCAACGGACAGGCGACGACAGAAGGTATTCGCTTGTCAAAAAAGCCGGGGCCAAGGCCCGGCCCTTGGATCCCCTGCCGCTGCAGGAGGCTGAGGCGACTGCGGCTGCCAAAAGGGCAGCAAAAAGCCAGGGGCAGTCCTCCAAACGGAGGAAGCCTGGGGTGCTAGTGAACTGAAGGTTCGTTTGCTTCAGGAAAACCATGCAAAGCCTTGTTGTCTCATGTGCATGCAGTTGTTTGACTTGTAGCCTCGCATGTGCAGGTTGTGAAGTTTGTGCCGGTGTTTGCAGCTGTTTGGGCTCCTGTAGGGAGCCCTTGGATGGGGGCTGGCCTTTTTTACGAGGCCAGGCAAGGGATCCTTTTAAGTTTCTTTCAAACGAAACATATATACAGATATAGATATGTAACTATATAGACTATAGGCAGCCCGGGAGACTGCGGTTTCCTGGACAAAGCCGGGAGACTACGGTCTCCTTATAATTGTGGTGGACCACGGTTTGCCATCTGTCTGTGAGAGGAGACCACGGTCTCCTGCAGAGCTGGCTAGCAGACTACGGTTTGCTTAGTCAGTGATGCATGCATGGGTTGCTTTTCGGCAACCGTGCTGGCCGGCAGAATGCAGGCAGACCAAGGTTTGTTTGCATCTGCTGGCAAGCATGCAAAGCAAGCAGACCACGGTTTGCTTTGCTTTGGGAGAGGAGACCACGGTTTCCTCGTGGGTGCATGCCACGGCATGCACCAAATACTATATGTATATATATATATATACATGTGCTAAAAAGAGTCTGGCTTAAGGGATCTTCCCTAAACCCTATACCCTCCCCGATCCTCTATAAACCCTTTTTTTGTCCTGGCCAGGCGAAGTCGTCGGCCATGCCCAAGCACCGCGACCAGGATAGAAGGAGGAGGAGCTCGAGCTCAGAGGATAGAGAAGAACGACGAGATCCTCGACCACGGTCGAGATCTCACGAAGAGTCCGAGGACCAAAAGAAAAAGGGGAGGATGGCAACAAAAAGCCAGAGGAGAACGAGAACAAGAAAGAGGAGGAGGAGAACTTTGAGGAGGAAACTGTGGCCTCCGAGGAGGCAACTGAGTCCGAGGACGAAGAAAAGGATCCGGAGGAGGAGCCGGAGGAGGCTACGGCCTCGAAGCCAAAGGAGGCGGCCTCGGAGGCTGCGGCCTCGAAGCCCAGAGTCCCTTCTCTGGATGAGAAGACTGCTGAATGGCCGATAAGTGCCGCCGGCAGGCAGAGGCTGGAGAGAAAGCTTGCAACAGCCAGGGTCGCGGCATCCCAGGCAGCTCTCCAGTCCTGGGCAGAAGAAGAGCAGGCCAGAAAGGAAAAGAAGGATAAAAAAAAGGGAAAGAAGGATAAAAAAGAGAAGAAGAAGAAAGAAAAGAAAAGCGAACGAGAGAGATCAGAGAAAAAGGACAAGGAGGTGGATGAAAAATTGAAGGGGGCAAATGAGAAGGCAGCAGATGAGAAGAAGGACAACAAGCCTTCGGACGGGCCCAAGGGCCCGTCCAAAAAGTGCCCCATTTGCTGGAGGTGGATACAGGAGCATGCGGCCGCCCGTCGCCAGCACCGATTGTCGGTGTTTCACCGAACTTGGAAATACATAGCCCAAGGGCTCAGCAAGGAGGCTGCTGCAGGCCGGGCAAAGCGCCGGTTCCAGGAGCACTGGCAGCCCGGGAGGGAAGAGGAGAGCGAAGAGGAATCCGAAGTCCCAAGGTGGGAGGTGCGGCGGGATTCCGGCAACAAGGGCCATGGATATGGCGACAAGGGCCAGGGATATGGCGACAAGGGCCAGGGATATGGCTATGGTGATGTGAGAGGCGGCTCCGGCCCCTCGGGGGCCAAGGCCCATACGGAAGCTGAGAAGGGCCGTCCTGAGCAGGCTAAGGGCACGAAGAAGAGAAAAAAGCCGGGGGCAGGAGAGACAATCTCCCTGATTGAGCCCGAGGATGACAAAGAGGATCGAAAGCCGGTGAAGCTTTTGCCCAGGAGTTTGCCAGCTAAGGCTGGCAAGACCGGCCAGGACAAGAAGAAGGGCAGCAAGGCTAAGGGCAGCAAGGCTAAGGCCAAACGTAAGCGACAGGAGTCGCCGGTACGGGACGATGATCACGTCCCAATGCCGGACAAGAAGGACCCGGACGATCCGGAAGGAGGGTCTGGGAGCTCCTACGGGAAAGTGGTGACGAGCCTTTTCCAAATCGCCTGCCAGGAGCTTCGGCAGCGGTACTAGCTCGGCAGCCGCCTGCCGTCTTCCGAAAAACCAGAGTGCCGGCTGCCGTCTGGTGAAAAAAAGAGTGTCTCCGCGCTTTTTTCTCTTCTAGGGTTTAGGGTTTAGGGGTTTTTTTTTAAGAATAAATTTCGGTTATCCTTAAGATTGGAACCTTATTCAAACGTAGAAAATATGATATAGTTTTTTCTATATCATATATATTGAAAGGAAACCATATGATATAGCATATTCTATATCATATGATGGCATCGCTTGCCATATGATATAGTTTCTACTATATCATATGAGTCTGTGGTGCCAGATATCATATGATATAGTTTTTTGCTATATCATATGTAATATTTTGGCCTCATATGATATAGTTTCTACTATATCATATGATTGACTTTGTTTTCATATGATATAGTTTTTTCTATATCATATTTTGAGGGTTTTGTGGGCCTGCCGAAATGTGTTCTCTGAGCAGCGGAAAGCAGGGCCCAAGCAGCCGTGCAGCATGCATACAGATGCCCAGAGTCGAGCACAGACAAGGTTTGGTGCAGTTGTGTTCGCAGACAGGCACCCCTTCCTGGGGCCATTTGTTGTGTCACCCGTCCTGTAGCTTGGATTGTTGTTGCCATGGAGACCCAGCATCCAAGGATGCGAGAAGCCTCCACGGAGGCGTGTGGAAGCCTCCACGGAGGCGTGTGGGAGCCTCCACGGAGGCGTGTGGAAGCCTCCACGGAGGCGTGTATGTGGCTGCTTGCTGCTGCAGGCACAGGGAGAAGAAGGAACTCTCCACGGAGATGTTCCGGCATTTGCTGTTGGTGCGGTGCCGTGGTGATATAGGGCCATGGCCTCCAGCAGCACCGATGCTTTTGCTGAAAGACCAGCGAAGCTTCAGAAGGTGAATGCTCTGAGAAGGAAATTGCCCCATCTCACAGCCTCGGCTTTGTCCGAAGTTTGCAAAGTTCTGCGGGACGAGGGTGTCCCGGAACTCACACAAAGAAAACATATAGCCGAGGCTGCCTGGCAACCCCTGAAAGAGAATAGGATCCTCAATCGTCTGTCACTTTTGCAGACAGATGGTGCAGAGCTGCAGATACCCAGTGTCGATTTTTGGGCTCTGCTGCAAGCTGCTATCTCGGATGCCGACAGCAACTTCGCCCAATATTTTTGGGCGTGCATCGACAAGAATCCTCCGAGCCCCAGCTCGGCATGGCGGCTGATCCTCTATACGGACGAGATCGTGCCGGGTAATCCTTTGGCAGTCCAGACGAAGAGAAAAATCTGGGCTTGCTATGCCTCGTTCGTAGAACTTGGAAGCTATGCATTGCAGCACGAGGAGTCGTGGCTATGCATAGGACTGCTCCGATCCAGCCTGATGGCCAAGGCCGAAGCAGGTGTCTCTCAATGGATCTCGAAAATCCTGCGAGACATATTCATGCGGCCGGCCAACCATTTGGAGCACGGGTGCATATCGTTGCAGCGACCAGGAGGTCCGCCCGTCCTCTTCCGGGTGGTTTTGTCAATGATCGTTCAAGACGGTGGTGCCCATAAAGCTCTATGGAGCTGCAAGGGGGATGCTGGCACCCGCATGTGCATGCTGTGCAGGAATGTAATAGCACAACGATGTGATATCCTGCACAGCAGCGGGCTCCCCGTGGTCGGTTCCTCTGAGATCCGAGAAAGTAAGCTTTCGCTTGCGACCGACCAATCCATCCACGAGGCCATGGCTAAACTGGCAGAGAAGAAGATGCTTCTGAATGCTGCAGATTTCAGCACGTGGCAGCAAGCCACCGGCTGGACTTATAATAGTTGTTCCCTGCTGCAACAAGAGGATCAACGATGGCTGGTCCGGCCGGTCTCACAGTATTGCCACGACAGCATGCACACCCTGCTGGTCTCCGGTGTCTTCCAGACAGTGACCTGGCTTGTTTTGGAAGCTTTGCAGAAGCAGTTTCCCAATCTCTGGGAAATCGCCGACGAGTACGTGGCCAAGTGGACCCTGCCCCGGAACATCTCGGCCAAGGCCGAAGGGATGCTGGGTCAGTCCCGAGCAAAAGCATGCAAGGAAGCCGAGACCTTTAAATGCACGGCCTCCGAAGGCTTGACACTGTCTCCAATATTGGCTTGTTTCTTCAGGCAGCTCGCCAGGGCAAATGCAAATGTTGAGGCAGTGCAAGCGATCCAATGTTTCTTGCAGCTGGACAAACTCGTGGCATGCTGCCAGAGAGCTCGCAGTGAGGGAGCGGTTTCGCCCGGCCAGATGAGAAAGCACGTTTCCGATTTCTTGCAAGCAGTGCATGCTGCTGAGTGGCAGGACCGCATGCATTCCAAGTTCCATTGGCTTCTCCACTTCGGTTCGCACCTGGAAAAGTGGGGCTTCATGGTTCAGTGCTACACTCACGAAAGAAAGCATCGCACTATCAAGAGATTCGCCGAGGACATCAAGAAGACTTCTGCTTACGAGCAGGGTCTTCTCCGAGAAGTTCTTGGACAAGAACTATATTGCTTGGCAAGAGCTGATTGTTTCGCAGCGATGCTGCAGTTGCAGGACCCGAAGCCAGCTTCTCGGAGGAAGGCGGCAGCACTTCGCAAAATCATTCCGGAGCTGACCTCGGCACAAGTGATTCATGTGGCAGAAAAAGTCAGGCTGCCCTCCGGGGAACGGATATGTCGTGGCGATGCGGTGCTGCTTGAAGGGAACGGTTGCTTGGAGTGTGCCCTTGTCTGGGCATTCGTGGAACTGGCAGGGCAAGCCTACAGTGTTGTGCATTCCATTTCTTCTCTGCTTTGCGATGACCTCGTGGGGGAGTGCTCCTGCATAGACAGCCTGCATCTGCTGCCATGCAGAGACTTTCTGTGTGCATGCACATGGAGAGACATGGCCGGAGGCCGACGACAAATCATCCTGCCTGCTTCCCTCCGATGAAAAAGATTGATCCTGCATGCATCCTGGATTTTGGGAATCTGCACGTACACACACATGCAGGCGACCTGTACCATGCTCTTTTTCCATGGATGTGCATGCAGCTGCCATTTTGGCTCCTGTAGTGGGGTTGTAGCATCTTGGCTCCTATAGAGGGGGCTTCTGGATTCTCCTTTTCTGGCCACGGCTATATATATCTCGCCACGGCGAGATGGCCCGAGAGTTGCAGGCCGAGTTAAGCCCTATGGCCGAGTGGGCACAAAGTGGGAGCAAGGCTTCGGTCGATGCTTTGATGAACAGCTGGTGCACCCGGCTGGAGAGCCTTGGCTCTCTGTCGTTAGGGCAAGCCATGCAGATGAAGCAGACGATCCAGGATCTGAGCTTCGAGAGCACCCTGTCAGAACGGTTGCTTGAAAAAGTTGAAGCCAAAGTTCTGGCAACGGCCACGGCTGCAACACCGCCGCCAGATACTACATATACGCCTCACAAGCGAAAGGAGGAAAGCAAGCCGCAGACCTTGCTGAAGCCGGAAAACTTCATCACGGTCACTGAGTGGTCTATGCTGGAAAAGTCGCCAGCACCGGCAAGGCTGGAAATCCTTCTGAAAAGGTATCTGCAGCTGGGCCTGAGGAACCTCACAGAACAGACGGTCAAGAAAGGCCTGGCCTTCCTCTTGGCACTGGCAGCCGGCGAGCTCAGTCAGATGCCGACATATGAAGAGATCTACGAAGAGGTCCAGGTCTTCAAGAGATCTTGGGAATCCGTGAAAACGGATGCAGAGCCGACTGAGGTCGGCCTGCTCACGTATCCCGATGACCCCAGCAGCTTGCCGAAGGCTCTGTTCGACCGAGCCTACAAGGCTGAGGACCCGCCCATGGGCAAAGACGTGAGGGCTGGGATCTGGCTAGCTCACATTCCGATGCGATCTACTTCCAAGCTCTTGCAGAAGAACAAGAAGCAGAGGCTGCCGAGGCCAGATGGCCAGGCCGCCGTGTCTGAGCAGCATGCGAACGAGTTCCAGAGCCGCATGGAGCAGTGCTTCGGGCGACTGGAAAGAATGCTGGACCAGGGCTGCGGTCAGAATGCCATCCAGGATGGTGGGCGAAGGGAGCTGCAGCTTGCTGCAGGCGCAAGTATCTTGCAAAGGAGGACTGCATGCTTCTTTTATCTTTTCCTTTGTTTTGCATCTGTATATACACAGCCCATGCATGCCTTTCCATTTGTATACCTGCTGCAGGACCCCTGGACGGAACTCCATCACAGGAGGCGAGCTGAGCAGCAGCAGTGCCGGGGTCGGCTTTGCTCTGGGCAACCCAGCCCAGCCGGTTTCGGCTGCGACACAGCAGACCTCGCCAGGGCGACAGTCGGCCTTGCAGCTAGCCCTGCCTCCAGCCGAAGAACCCGAAGCAACGGAGTCGCTCCCTGCCGAGAACGATCTCGAGGACGAAGCTTTGTTCAAGAAGCTCAAAGATCGCAAAGCTGGGATTCTGAAGAAGCCGGCCGCTGCAGCTGCAGCGAGTGGCCAAGGAAACTTGGCAAAGAACAAGACAAAAACGAATGGCCAAGGCCAAGATCCAAAGAAGAAGGGCAGCGGCAAAGGCAAAGGAAAGTCCAAGGACAAGAGTGCTTCGAAGAAAGGCCAAGGCAAAGCAAAGGAGCAGCAAGCCCAAGGCTCGCATGGAAAGCGGAAGTTCCAAATTGTCTGGGAGGACGGCTGCATCCAGAAGAACTATGCTTCTCGCATGTACAAGCGAGCCGGAACGTGGGCAAAGCACCAAGGCTTCTCGGAGCAGCAAGTGGTAGAGTGCCAGCGAGAGGCCCACAGAGAGGCCATTCTGCTGTGGAAGAAGAAGAACGGCTGCTAAGCCAGCTGTGCAGGGCTCGAAAGCGATGCAATGCCAACCAACTTTTTGCTTCTGCTCATGTGTGTGTGCACACATGAGCATGTGCATCACCGACTTAATCGGCATGCTGCACAGATCACGATCATTTAATTCCATGCAGTTAATGGCTGCATCCCGACTCAAGATCGCATGAGAGACAGATGCGAGGACAAAAGCCGAAGCTTTTTTTGTATATATATGTATAT